GGAACTTTTTTAAATTCTGAAATTGCTAAAGACGATAATGCAGCAATTTGTGAAGCTGTTCCGGCAGCTGTTTGTACTCTGAAAAATGTTGAGACGAGGTTAAAAAAAATTTTTTTTTGAATTTTTTAAAAAATTTTTTAGTTGAAACTTTTCTGATTTTTATTAATTTCGAGTCATTTTTCGAAATTAAAAAATTTTTTTGAAATTTTTTAAAATTCTTTTGAATAAAAATTTTTTAATTTTAAGTTTCGAGCCATTTTTCAAAATTAAAAAATTTTTTTTTGAATTTTTAAAAATTTTTTAAAAAATTTCTTTAAAATAAAAAAAAAATTTTTTTCTTAATTTTCAAGTTGTTCAAATAACGACACAGACTTCAAACCTTTACCAAAATTAGTTATTCGAATTTTACGTCGAACAGAATCTTCAACAACAGAACCTCCTCTATTACCTACACCAACAGAATTAAATGAAGTTAACAACAATTTCCAACACCACCAAAAACATAAAAAGAAAAAGCATAAAAAGAATAAAAAAGAAAAAGATGTTGATTGGACAGAAACTGATGAATGTTTAAAATCTATTAGTAAAAAGAATAAAAAACATAGAGAACATCACAAGTCAAAAAGAAGAGATTCTAAAGGATCTATTGGGTAAATAAATATATTAATTAATTTTTCTTAAATGTTTCGAAATTAGTATTTGTTTTTGGGTATTTTAGCTGAAGAGAACTGAACTGAAAATTTTCGAGTTCTTCAGTTCGTTTTCTAACTTACTATTCAAAATTTTAGACTTTATTTTTAAATATTTTGTTTCTTGTCTATTCGCAATTTAAATTTGGTTTACAGAAAATGTCTTTATAATCTGAAAATGACTTGATGATTTCCTAAAATTCTCGTTTTTAAGAAAATTTATCATTAAAAATTTTTTTGAATCTAATTTTTAATTTTCTTAAGTAATAAAATTAATCATAAAAATTTTTTTTTGCAGTAGCCTTGACTATAACGAAACAGAAAATAATAATAATTTATCACCAGAATATACCCCAACACAACAACAAATAAATAATAATAATCGAAGAGATTCGTTCTCTCCAGAAATATATTCAGGCATTCCAACAACAACCTCGTCTTGTTTACAAAAAGAGGAAGAAAATTCAAATAATTGTTTTAATGAAGATTCAACAAGTTTTTCTTCAAATTTTTGTGAACGTTTAAATTTTATTGAACGTCCAACAGAAAACCCAAAAAAGGGAACTTTTTTACTAGCTAAAGAAGATTTATTTAAATTGGAAGAAAATAGTGTAGCATTATGGAGAATTGATAATCAGAATTTATTACAAAAATATATACCTTTTGTTGTGGAAGAAGAGGGGGAATATAAAGGAGAAATACATTATAAAAATAGTCAGACGGTGAGTGAGAATTTTTAAAAATTTTAATTCTGATTTTAAGGAATTCTGATTTTTACGAGAACAAATTCTGATTTTTTATAATTCTGATTTTTGGAAACACATTATGATTTCTCAAAATTCTGATTTTGAGAAATTCTTATGTTAAAATTCTGAATTCTATATAAATGAATTCTGATTTTTTTAAATTCTGGTTTTCGGAATTCTGATTTTTACATAAATAAATTCTGATTTTTGGAATTCTGATTTTTAAAATTCTGGTTTTTTTAATTCTGTTTTTTTAAAACACATTCTAATTTTTACAAAATTTTAAATTCTGATTTTTGTATTTTTACAAATTCTGATTTAAAAAATCAGAATTTTCGATATTACAAAAAATATTCTAAGAGTGTTAATTAAAATAAATACTAATATTTTTTCTTATTTTTCTAGTATTCTGGATGGAGCCCAGATTTTGTTGATTATCATATTGTTGTTAGAGGTGAAAAAATAATTTTTTTATGAAGATTTTTTAATTTATTTTTTAGTTGAATATATAAAGAAAAGTCGTTCTGATAATATTGTTCGTCCATTGCTTCCATTACAAGATTTATTTCCTGTTGTATGTTCAACTATAAATGGGGCAGAGGGTAAATTTTGTACAAAAATATTTTTTTAATTTTGAAAATTTTTTTAGATAAAAGTATTGTTAAAGTTTCACAACCTGAACCTTTAAAACAATTAAATGTTAAAGAAACCCAATTAATTGAACACTTAAAAGTATTTGTTGAAATTATGCTTAAACATGCTATAACACTGCAATTTGTACAAAATATAAGAGAGAATAATGGTAAAATTCTGATTTTTTAAAAATTAAAATTCTGATTTTTATTTTCTTTTAATTCTGATTTTCAAAGTGAAATTCTGATTTTTTTAAAATTAAAATTCTGATTTTAAAATTGAAATTCTGATTTTTTTAAAATTAAAATTCTGATTTTAAAATTGAAATTCTGATTTTTTTTAAATTAAAATTCTGATTTTCTAAATGAAATTCTGATTAATTCTGATTTTTTCTTTTTTGATATTTCTGATTTTTATTTTCTTTTAGAATTTAAATTCTGATTTTTTTAATTAAAATTCTGATTAATAAACCTATCAAGTTTTAATAATTCTGATTTTTACGTTGTGTTTTATCCTTTAATTCTGATTTTTACTTCAGAATTTCTAAAAAAATCAGAATTATTAAAAATTGACAAGTTTGTAATTTAAATCAGAAATTAAATCAGAATTTGTTTATTTTTTTAAATAAAAATTCTGGTTTCAAATAATTCCACAAAAATTCTGATTTTTTTATTATTATTGAATTAATTCTGATTTTTTTTTATTTTTAGACTGGAATTATTTATGTTCAATGACTGAAATAGAAACAAAAATTAAAAATTGTTTACAAAATATTTGTTCAGAAAATGATCGTTGGTTGCCTTCTTTTTTAGAAGCATTAAACAATTTTCCAAATATTTTTTTTCTTCGGGATTTTAATGATCATAAGGATGAACAACAATCTTGTCAGGTAAAATTGGATTTTTTCTGATTTTTGAAAAAAATTTGTTCTGATTTTTTTCTGATTTTCGAAAAAAAAAATTCTGATTTTTTTTCCGATATTCTCTTCAATTTCCCCTTCAAAAAATTAATTTTTATAGGCTTGCCTACTTAAATGTCTCGATGTAAACCAAGCAATCCAACTTTATACAGAAGAGGTTTATGACACAGAAACAATTGTTCCCAAAATGTTAACTAACTGTGAAAATACTGTTTGCAATATTGATTTTTATTTATGCAACAAATGTGCAGATGCAGCTCTAAAATATCATAAAATTTATCATTTGAGATATTCTATATTTAAAGCTTCAGAAATGAAGGTAAGGTGTTGTATTTTTATTTAAATTTAAAAAATAATTCTGATTTTTAATTCTGGTGTATTTCTGGTAAGTGATTCTGATTTGTAATTTTGATTTTCTATTTTGTAATTCTGATGTGTTTCTATTATGCAATTCTGATTTTTAATTGTTTGTTTCTTGTTTTTGATTTTAATTTTTAATTCTGGTTTGTATTTCTGTTTTTAATTTTGGTGTTTCTATTTTGTAATTCTGATTTGTGATTATGATTTTTTATTATTAATTCTGAGTTGTAATTCTAATTTGTAATTCTGATTTTTTAAATCTTATTTTGATTGTTATTTTTTTCTTTTTGTTCTGATTTTTATTTTTACAATTTACAATTCTAATTTTATTAATTTTCAAATTTTATTTATTCTGATTTTTATTTTTTTTTCAGTTGGAATTAACAAGTACAGAGCATCCAGAATATTCTGTAGAACAAGTAATTGAGCAATGCAAAAATGATACTGAATGGGTTGAAAATGTAAATATTATATTTTAATTATTATTAAAAAAATCAAAAAAAAATATTTCTAAGTCTATCCTCATTAAAATTTAATTTGGAAATTTTCTCACAATTTAGTAGAAATTAAAAAAAATTGAGAATATTTTAATATAATTATTTATTTATTTTTTTTTCAGCTTTGCATTGAAGGTGCTAATGTTATTTTATCAAAATAATTGAAATATATTGTGCCATTTTTAATATTAAAATAAAAAAGGAATTCGGGTATATTCAACAATATTTTAAACACTGCCTACAGACAAATAATGATAAAAATTTAAATTAAAAAAAAATTTTTTTTTGACCGGTTATACATTGAATCTTTTAAGACTTAAAATTTAAAGTTATTTATATTTCAATGACCAAAAGTTTTTCAAAATTTTTTTATTAAAATTCCGATTTTTTTTACAACAACAAAATTTCTCTCTTAAATTCTCTCTTGAAAAGTCTTTCTTTTAATTAAAAAAGGGCAACAATAACAGCCAACAACTGGTCAAAACATTTGTTGATTATTTTTATTTTATTTTTAACCTCTTACAGTTACCCATAAAATATATATATTTTATTTTTAAAATTACTTAAAAATTTATTTTTTTTCCTTCAAAAATACTTTAATTATATAAATACTATTGTTACACTATTTTTAACAGAATTTTATGAATAAAATTATATTTTTAAAAATCTTTTTTTCAATAAAAGAGCTGATATTTCTTAATATTTTTTATAATATTAAATTTTTAAACTTTAATTTGTTTTTCTAGACCGTCTACTGAGTGCAAATTTGACGCTAGAGCTTAATTACGATTTGAAAAAATAATAGGAACAATTGCTAGATCTCTAAAATTCTTTAAAAATTCACAAAAATCCACCAAAATATGGAAGGCTTTATTAAAATTTCTATAAATTTTTAATTATTTTTACATTTAAATAGAAACTGATGTGGTGAGCCAGTCACAAAAAATGTTTTGAATGATCAATTAATGCCAATGCATGGTAAAAGGTAAGACCCACCAAGCGCGTTTGACGGCGCTTTTTGGTGGTGCCTGAAGCTACCAAGCCTAAGAGACAGATTTTTGATGGGGGCGTTCCCGGCATAAGTGCAAGACCGGGTCGATGCGTGGTTCAGGGATGGAAGCCCCCTTACCCCACTTTCCAAAAACTTGACTTAACTCACGGTTTTTAAGCCGCAAGAGAAGCCTGTATACGTCGCCATTCGGCTGCCCGAGCAAGAGCTACCTGACGACGTATACGGCGGTTTCTTGCCCTCCGAGCAGGCCAGGTTTGTCGACGTCGGAGCTTCCAACGGCGTCGCCTGGCCCATCTTTGGACGTTACCGCAAAGAGCGCAAATGATATTGAAAATATATTCAATCATTTGGGTAAAAAACCAAATTCGTATGCAAATTAATTAAATATACAACTATTTTTTCTAGTTAGAGTTAGACAGGATGAATACAAAAGCAATTTTGTAATGTAAGTTGTACACTATTTTCTCTAATTTTTTGTATGTAATATCTATGAAAGTTCAGAAAAATATGCATATAATAATTTTCTATAACTTTCTAGTTTTGTGATTTTGAATTTTACTATTTACGGCAAAAAACGATTACCCTCAAAATTAATTATGGGAGAAATAAATTATTTTTTGATTGCCGAAATTGGCGTTTTTTTAAAATTATTCCTTTAATTAACTCGAATCTCAGATTAAAATTAGGCTCCTATTTAAATATAGTTGTGAAATCAAAAATAAAAAAAAATTTTTTTTTAATTCAGTGCCATCAACATCTACAAAAATACATGAGGTACTAAATAAAAATAATTTTTAATATTAAAGCCTTCCATAATTCTGAATTTTAAAATTCAAATTAAAGTCACTTAAAAAATTTATATATTTAATTTTAATGCAATTTTCTGATTATATCCACAATATTTAATCATCAAAAATAAATTAAACAAGAAATTAATGCCTGTTGATTGCGACCAGGCGTCGTCTCCGGCGGTTTCGAGTTAACAATAAAAGCTGAAGTCGTAGGAGACGTCGTTAGGTTGCCTTCTCAGAGTTTTGCTATAACTATTATTTTTTTATTTTGTTTTTACAAAAATTAACTTGGCGATTAGCCTACAAGCGATTAGCTTAGAAGAGAATTGGAGGCCTCAGCAAGCAATGAACAACTTACACATTTTTTACAATTACAATTATTTTACAAATTCTGATTTATTTTTAAAACTTTACAATTGTATTTAATTTTAAAAAATACATTGTTCTGATTTTACAATATTTAAAATTCTGATTTTAATTATTAAACTTGTATTTTCTCCCTCTTCTAGTAAATATTCTAAAACACAGAAAAATACAATAAAACTTTCCGGAAAGGAATAAAATAAACTTAATTAAAGCCTTTAATAAACTTATGTATTTTCTTGTATTTTTTTGTATTTTTTTTTGTATTTTCTTGTATTTTTGCAAAACACATATTTCCAACTTTTTTTCACTGTACAAAACGAAAATACAATTAAATTGTATTTTTTCTACTTTAAATCATTTTCTGGATCAACTATCACGTTATATACAATTTTAAACCGTTGTTACAGTAAAGTAAATCAATAAGAATTGCTGATAGACAAGTAAAGAACGTGTATTTTCGCCTTTCTATGCAGGTTTGTCTACAAGGCTAGACAACTAGTGTGTCCTGGCAATGAAAGAAAAAGCGTTTCAAAATGGTCAGTGGACAAAATGCCTATACGACAAAACGTCAGAAGACAAAATGCCCAAATTCAATAATCTCTTGTTTTTTATTGTCGACTTTTATATTTTTTGTCATCATTTTGTCCACTTTTGTCCTCCTGAACCTTTTAACATTTAGATATTTTATAATAAAGTAGAGAGAAAAGAGCAAAAAGAGGGCAACTTTAGAAAAAAAAATAAAATAAAAGTATAATATTTTTCTTCGTTCTCTCCAACGAGCTACATACACATCCAAACATACATCACTTCTCTCCGTAGCTCTGATGATTTTATATATTTTTAGAAGAATATTTGGAAGGAGAGAGTTTTTAGTTGTGGGGGAGTAATTGGGGGAAAGAAAGAGGAAGAAAAAAAGGGTATAGAAGAAAGGGGAGCAGTAGCGAAAACGAGGAGAGAAAATTTCTTTTTTTAATATATTTTCTCGAAAAAATGTGTGTGTACTGCAATGAATGATGAGCACTGGTTGGTAGCGGCAAACAACTGCATTTATAATAATGTTTGTGTATACAAATTGTTGTGTTTTGCAAGTTTACTTGTGTGTTTTTGCGAATGTTCAGATGTGTGTTATTATATTTATTCAAACTTTCCGGAAAGAAAATACAAAAAAGAAAATACAAGAAAATACAACTTTTTTTTGTTGCAACTTTTCCGGAAAATAGAATATATTAAACTTTTCCGGAATGTAAAATAGAATATTTAAAACTTTCCGGAAAATAAATAGAATACAAAATTCCGGAAAAACTGTCGACACTTTTTCTTCCCACAATTTTCCGGAAAACAAAATAGAATATATTAAACTTTCCGGAAAATATAGAATATTCCGTAAATTGTGAAATATTAATTGATTATTTATTCATAGATCTTTCCGGAAATTGATTGATAGCAAGCACTTTTTCTATACTTTTCTTCCTGTACTTCTTATTGGACATTTTGTCTGTTGTCATTTTGTCGTTTTTATATTATGTGGACATTTTTTGATTTTTTATTTCTCAAGTCTGATCGTCTGCTTTTTTAGATTAAAAATTAAATTTTTTTTAAATATTTTTTTTGTATATTTTAAATATTTTTAGACTTTAAATTTATACATTATTGACCAGAAAAGTGTGCTTCTACAAAAATTTATTTAAAAGCGCCTAAAAATGACAACTAATCAATCTGGGGACACGTCACCCGGCGGAAGCAATTCCATCTCAAACTCATCTGTTAGAACGACGAGAACTAGTGAGGACGAAGAAGGACAAGTTGCTCCACATAATGCCTTTCATTTGGATTGCTGTTCTAGTCCGGAACCTCAGGAACAAGGTTTTTGTTTTAAGTAGGGTTTTGGTGACTAGATTTTGTATTTTTAGATGAGGAGAGTGATGGACAATGTTGCGATGAGGAAGAAGCTCTTTCTAGACTTGCTGTAGCTTCTGGATTGTAATTTAGTTTTTTGGGGTTTTAAGGGGTTAGGTGGGTATTTGGAAGGATCGATTCTTCCAGAAAACCAACCCAAGAAGGCCCATAGATCCCTTAATCTTAATCGATACAATACAGGCGGGATGAGAAGTATCCAAATGTTGGCCTGGACCGAGGAAAACTCATCTTACATCCCCAAAAAAGTTGCCGTACATCTCCCTCCCAAGTCGAAACGGATAGCTCTGAAGTGTTACCCAAACTTAAGGCCTGAACCGAAAACGGCAATCCTATTCTTAAGCGTTTTTAGCCTCTCCATGATGCATTTTCTAAACATACTTAAAGATTTAGGCGTGATCCATCTGTCGGCGTCCAAACTGAATACAACGATGAATTTCCTCCTCTAAGATTCCTTCGCGCTCTAGGCGAAGATCCTTCAGGATTTATTCAACAGCAACAGGCATTTTACTTTACTGGCAGCTCAGATGTTGTGCCTGCCTCATTATTACATCTTCAACAACCTTCTCAACAAAATAATAATAATAATCATCCTCTTCCTTCTCAACTGCCAATACCTACACTCTCTGCTGCAGCAAATCAGCAAACGACAAATACTGCTTCAAATACTGCGATAAATGCGGCATCAGCTGCGTCTGTGACGATGGACGCGAGTTCAAGTTGTTCTGATGGAACGTTACAACTAGTAATCCAAAATTTTCGTCACATGTCTGATACTGTAAGAGGGCCGTGCAAATATATACAGACAGTGCCTTGGTTTGTTTGTTGTTTTTTAAAGAAATTTTAAATTTAATTTTGAAGGCGCATTATGGTGATGCCGCGACAACATGTAGTGCAGAAGAAGGGAACTCAAAAGTGCCTTGGATTTTTTCTTCAATGTTGTCCTGATGCATATTCTGAGTATGTGATTTTATTTTTAAAATCTTAATTTTTGAATGGTTGTTGACAAAGAAATGGAGTTGCACCCCGACACCGTTCTTAAGTGGGTAATTAACCCGACTCGAGACTCCGATTGAAAAATTTGAAATCCTGTACCTCGACACACTTCCCCGAGTGTTCGGGTGCAACCATACATAAAAATCGCTTTGGCTTGCGACCAACAAAGCCAATTGAATGGATATAGTCGCAATACGCTTTTTATTTAAATAAACCTAATTGAAGTTAAAAGTTAAAAAACTTTTTAAAGATCATGGTCTTGTCAAGCATCGGCAGAATTAAGGCTCATATCTCAAAAAGCTGGCATTCCAAATTTCATCAGGAAAACAAATCATGTTTATACCGCAAAGGAAAATGATTGGGGATATTCTTGTTTTATGACTTGGGCGGTGAGGATTTTTTAAATGATTTTTATTTTTTTTAATCTTTAAGGACATTTTGGATGAGTCTCAGGGTTATATAAAAGACGACAAAGTTACCTTAGAAGTTCAAGTCAAAGCTGATCCTCCCAAAAATATTTTGTAAAAATTTTTTTTTAAGTTGTCTAGAATTTTTAAATTTCCGTTTTTAGAACGCACTCAGAGTTTAAAAAGAAAATTCAAGATTATAAGCGATTAGCAGACTTACAATGTCAACGTGGACTAATAGACAAAGCAATTGATTGTAACACTCAAGCGTTGAAATTTTGTAAAGATAAAGACCCTCAATGCAAAATTGAATTGGAAACACAAAAAGCACATTTGATAGATATGAAATTGAAACAATCAATTCAACGAATTGAAAAAGGTTTATTTTTAATTTTAAAGCTGTGTGAGGAAGTCGAGAATTTGGGTGATTAAGTCCACAGTTTGGTATTTCAATTGCTTTTGGTATTACAGGATGTTCCTGCTAGTATTTGTTGCTTAGGTTGAAGGTTTTGAATCTGCTGGGGTTTAGTAGACTAGGTTTTAGAATCTATAATGTAAGGTTAACATAAATAACTCGCGTGAATCTTGCTACATAAAAGATAATGTGGAAAGAAGGGAGAAAAGTCGCATGCGATTTGATCTCACCTTTTGAATCTTATTCTTATGTCGGAAGACGCAAATCGAACTTTTATGTAATTACACCACAAGAAGGGAAGTATTGTCACCATTGTAAGGCCAAAAGGTCGTAAGCTTGAATCCTGCTCGATAGCTAACTAGGCTAGAAAGAGCACTTGCTAGAAAGGGCACATTCTCTATCGAATGAGCCTGGTCTCGACCGTTTTTAGCTCGGTCACCTCGCAAGCTTCCCTAGTAAACTTGCTAAACTTTTACTAAATTCTATTAAATAATTTTTTTATATCAAAAGGTGGAGATTTATCAAAAATTGACGATGATTCTACAACAAATTTAAATGCATTAAGACAAGCCATGGGTACAACAACACGTTGTAGTGGTGGTAATGCATCATCAAAAGCAACAAAAAATAAATCAACAAATACAAAAGATGCAAATACAATAACAACAAATAATTCTACAAATGTTGATAATGGAATAATTACGGATAAAAAACAACAAGAAAAACAACAACGTGGTGGAACACCTCCATTTACTTCACCAAATAAAGAAGAAAAATTACAAACAACTCCAAATAAAAAAATTGATAAAACATCAAAATCTGTTGAACCGAATAATGAGGAGAACAATAAAAAGAATATTTGTAAACAAGATGGAAAACAAGGAGGAGGAGGAACTAAAAAACGTCTTTATAAATCGGCGTCAACAAATGAATTGGGAGCTGTTGGAGCAATTTGTAAAGGTTAATAAATACTTTTTTTAAAGTTTATTAGTAGAAAGGGACGCGGACGGGATTTGTGTAGATTGTTTTTGTAGCGTCTAATAAGGAGGTGGTGGGGGTTAAGGACCTGTTAAAAAAGCGAAGTAAAAGTCGAAACTCGATAGTTATAGTCGGTAGCTCCAGAGCCTAGGTCTAAATTTATCTCTTTATCTCTATTATATATGCTTATCGGTTTGGACGAGGACGAGTCTAGGAATAAAACTTTCCCTAATTTTTTGTGTAAACAGAATAATAATTGTTTTTAAAACTGTTATTTTATTTTTTTGTTTTTTTAGAAGAATTTGACTTTATCAAGGACCGTTATCAAGAAGAAGAGGACCTTTTGCCTGATCAAATTAAACATTTTCTTAAACATGTAAATAGAATTTTTATTTTTTTTAATTTAATTTTTTGTGCTTTAGCTTTCTGAAGGAGACAAGGACTCGAATCGTTTAAAAGAGCAAATTGCCAAACTTGAATTAATTGCTTCACCTTTTGAGAAGCCAGATCCTCTCTTGGTTTTTTCAATTTTGATTTCAATTTATTTTTTTTTCAATTTTTCAGTTGGAAGGAATTATGAAACTTAGTCCCGAGGAGGCGGATGTAATATTTTTTTAAAAATTCAAACAGATAATTATTATAAGATACTTGTCAGGCACTAATGGGGTCCGGTTTGAGGAAAGCTCATACTTTGGGTCGGAGTTTTTCGTCCTTGGTTCCTCCGATCAAGTTTCGAGTGAAAATAAGTAAAGGTTACGGACAAGGGCGTAGCCACGTGGGGCTTGTGGGGCTAAAGCCCCCCCCCCCCCGAAATTGGGAAAAGGGAAAAGTTTGAGGAGGGGATTGAGCAGAAAAGTGTGACCGTCCAAATTAGACGAAATCCCCCTGAAATCGATTCCAAACTAGGCCCTTGGTTACGGGGAACCCCCCATACTTGCTTTCTTTCCCTGCTTTTATGGTTGGTTATGGAGAACCCTATCCTTGCTTCTTTTCTCTGCTTTTATGGTGCTGTAAAATTGTATCTTATAATAAGCTGTACTTTAAAACTGGAAACCTCTCATTTTAATTTTTATTTAAGAAATTTTTACAGAAAGCGCTTGTTAAAGCTATCACATTTTACGCACTTGAACGTGAAAATGATCGTGATCGTGGATCTATTAATGACTCGAATCAATTGGATCGTTTAGAAACTGTAATTCGAAATAAATTTTGTGAATCTTGTCTTCACGAGGGGCATTTACAACTTGGAAAACGTGAAACATCTGAATCTGGATGTCAAACTGAATTTGCTCGGAGAATTCCTAGAGAAGGTTTGTGTATTTATTCACAATATTTTTTAATTTTTAAACTTTTATTTTGGGTTTATTGAAATAAGATGGCAAAATATTTAAAGAAAAAGTCAAAATTTAGTGAAATATTAAAAATTATAGTTTATTCACTGGCAAAAATTTAGAAAAATTGATCACGTTTTAAATTTCATGTTAGGCTTATAGTTTGACGAATTGAGTATTTCTACTCTTTTGGACATTTTGAGATAGGCTTTTTTGGGGTGTTTTTGTTCTATTTAAAAAATGCCAAATATTGAAATAACGGGAAAATTGCAAAATATTAAAATAATTTGAAATTTAACATTGTCGAAAATCATAATATCGAAAAATTAGACGCATATTTTTTGTTTTTTTTGGCAAAATAAGTCTTATAAAAACATTTCAATTAAAACTTTGTAACCCCTATAAACTTTTTATTTCCGGGTTAGGGCCAAAATAAGAAGAAATTTTAATAGTAAACTCCGACCACTGCTCGACACAATTGTTTGTGTGTTATATTGAAAAAGGTTTTGTTATATGCCAGCGTGCTCCTTGTAAGGCTTTATATGGTTCCTGTAGAATGATTTTTTTGTTCACTTTTATAATTTTGCTTTTTCTTTCCCCTTTTTATGGCCCTTAAAAATGATTTTAAACTACTCTAAAAATTTCAAAAATTCAAATTTTTGTAAAGCAATTCCTGCTGATGACGCAACACTTCGTATTATGCAACAACTTCAACAACAACAGCAACATTTACTTGGACAACATGCTACAAATGAAGAATATATAAATGCTTTAAAAACGCAAGCATTTGCTGCTGTTCAACAGCAACAACAACAACAACAACAAGCAGTTCAACAACAAAATCAGCAACAACAACCAGTTGTTAATGTACCAACACGTAGAAAAAAGGCAGCTGCCAAAAAAGGATTGCAACAACAACAAAAACAGCAGCAACAACAAATGGCAGAATTTCAACAAAAACAGCAAAATTTGATACAGCAACAACAGCAACTTCAACAACAATTTATTCAAGTAATATATAAATTTTATTTTTATTTTTCGAGTTTAGGATTTTTTGGATTTCTTCTCTGAAGTTCCCTAGAGATTCTTTTCTAGCTTAAAACTAACAAGGAAACCCTTTCAAACTTTGAATCAAACATTGTACTTTTTTGATACCAATCGATAGATTTTCATCGATTAACTCTAGAAAATGAATGATATTTTTGGCTAGGAATATGAAACTAAAAAGTTATTAGGGCTTCAAAGTTTGCGAAAATTAGGATTGCTAACGTGAAACTTATAAATTTCCTGAGAGACTGATAAATTTCCTTCACAGTGACTGTCAATTTTGATTTCTTTCACGTTGTCGATGCTTTTCCCTTCTCTCTTTTTTCTCAGCGCTGCCTAACTTACCAGAGAACTGTGCTCTTGCGTTCTTTTCGCCATTTTGGGCAAACTTTTAAGCCCCATAATTTTTAGTTTCTCGTCTTTCTATTTTTTACTCATTTTCATTTTATTTAAAGGTTGCTAATGCTCGTGCAGTTCAACAGCAACAAATGGCTGATTGTACAAATCAATCAACTGTTGGTCTTGTTGAAGCTATGAATTTAGATTTGAACAGCCCTCAAATGGGAGGTCTTTTTGCAAATTCAAAGCCTTTGTTAAATACTTCTGGGATTGATATGAATTTGGCTGCTTTGACAAATCTGGATTTGAGCAAGGTTTAAAAATTATTCTTTAATCATTTTATCACTTAAACGCCCTTCTCAGATTCAATTTTCTTCATCTGACCCAGTTACCATGTCTGAAACAAATGCTGTAAATGCTCAAGGGAATAATAACAATACAGTCTTTTCCCGCCAGTACATTGAAGAATGGCTTCGTTACAATACTCGTCATTTGCTAAAAGCCAATTTTGACGATAAACAACAGCAGCCATCTGTTGCTTCCTCAATTTCTGCTAGTTCAATGCCTGGAGGTTCTAATTCTGATGCGGCTATGGCATCGCTTGCAAATCAAATTTATTCTGTTGATCCGCAAGATGTAAGTTTGAGGAATTATTGGTGGGGGATGGGGGGTTCTTGAGGGAATTACTTTCATATAAGATATACCCAATACCAGAACATCATGATTTAAGATCAGGGCTGGACGTAACTGTGGATTGCGTAAATTTCGTGGTTTTTTGACTTGCGGATCGCGGCTACGGGAAATTATTTTCACTTGCGTTCAGCCCTGTTTAAGATACGTTTTTTAAGTTTGGTTGGGCATTGAGTGTGTAAGCTGTTTAAGTGATTTTCTTCTATTTAAGATAGACCTCAGAATGGACTATTTTTGTCATTTATTAGTCTTTGCTGTATTTCTATTAAAAAAATTTTCTTTCTTCGAGAGATTTTATTTCTAACAATAAATTTATTTTTTTAGGTAACAGCAACACAAGCAGCATTATTTCAATTACATTGCTTAAATGCAAAAAATATACAAAATAAAGTTGATGAATTTGTTCAAACATTGGAAACACATGCTAATTTGTATTTTTTATAAAAAATTTTCAGAAAAAATTTTTTTTTTAATTTTCCAGTCGTGATTTACGCAATTGTATAGATCGTCTGTTAACTTTATGTGCTGATGATGAAAATTTTACTAGTGCTGATGATACAGTTTCAGTTATAAGTGTTAGTGAATGTTCTGGAAGAGGTTTTTTTAATTAAAAATTTTTAGAAAAATTTTTTTTGTCAAAGATTTTGATGCAAACAAAGAAGCAGCAATAATTCAAGATTATTCAGCATTGCAGCATCCTTTTATTGAAGAAGACCCACATGATTATATTTTGTTGCGTGAACTTAAACAACAGGAAATTATGCTTTCAACACGTTTAAATTCAATTTTGTATCAGTTACATCAAGCTAGGTTAATTTTTGAAAATTTTTTTTAGTTTTAAAAATCCAAGTTTTTAATTACTATAGAAAAGCATTTGGTTAAGTTTTTTTTAAGTTAAAAAAAATTTTTTTTATCGGTATATCAATATTTACTTGCCAATAGCTTCCACTTTAACATAAAGCTTTTAACTAAATTCGTAAAGGCTTTGAACTAAACTCGGCTTTTTACCAAATTCTCCAATATATTCAGGTCTAGTCAAGAATTTGGGATTCTAAGGATGAAGGGGATTTTTCCTGAATGGCATTTTAAACGGTTACTAGGCTTGGGGGTTAAGTAAGATTTTTAATTAAGATTAAAATAGCTCCGGTAGCTACTTGTCAGTAACTAGAAAACCTTTGTACCACCTAGCAAGGGCGTAGCCAGAGGGTCGATTTCGGGGGGGGGGGGGGCTAACACTGGGTGTGCGCAAAATTTTTGGCGTTTACCTTGGCGTTCTGGACGCAAATTTTTTTGAACCATATTTTTATTTTTTTCAGCGCCGCAAGCGAAAATTTTTAAAATTATGAAGGCCGTAGGCCAAAAAATTCACTTTTTCGGCGCCGCAGGCGCCAAAAATTGTGATTTTCAGCGCCGCAGGCGAAAATTTTTTTAATTTTAGAAGGCCGTAGGCCAAAAAATTCACTTTTTCGGCGCCGCAGGCGCCAAAAATTGTGATTTTCAGCGCCGCAAGCGAAAATTTTTAAAATTATGAAGGCCGTAGGCCAAAAAATTCACTTTTTTGCTAATTCTTCTCCTAATTTTTCTCCCCTTTCTCCCATTTCGGGGGGGGGGGGGCTTTAGCCCCAGAAGCCCCCCCCCTTGGCTACGCCCTTGCCACCTAGAATAATCTCTCTTATGGTGATTGCTCTGATATTTTTTTTATTTTATATAAATTTGGGTGGTAGACTTGGCTGGCTCTATATGGCTAGAGACTTTTTAGGCTCTTATTGTTAGACCTTCTCCCATTTCTTTTTTATTTTCATTATAATAAAAAAATTTTTTTCCTTTAAAGTATTTCTGATATTGTTGATCGAATTGAAGCAAAAGTTAAAGTTTTGGATGAAAAATTAAAAATTTCAAAGAATGAGTGTGCAACATTAAAAGCTAATGACAAAAAAATTAATGATCAATTAACTTTAGTTCAAAAAGAATTTTCTGGGATAAATGGAAAATATGAGAAATTAATTCAGCAATTGAAAGATCGTAAAAATGAAATTAAAAAATTGGAAAAGAAGGCTAAATCTGAAGCGTAATAAATTTTTTTTAGAATTTTTTAAAATTAATTTTTTAATTTTTATATCCTTGTTAATAGGCCGGAAACAATCGTGGAAAAAAAATAATTTTTTTTGAGGGGAGAGGAAAGGCATAGGTGGGTGATAGGGAAAAAGAGAGGAGGGGGCGTTTTTGTCACTTAAGTGATGGCATTATTTTTCCTCCCTGCAAAAAAAATTTTTTTTTACAAATATTGAAAATAAGTAAGAGGAATGCCTAGGTGATAGCTGAATTTCAGTGAATTTTTAATTTTGAAAGTGCAGGCAAATTTCAAAAACGGGTAAAAGGCAGAATTACTTTAGTTGTCCGTCGCACCATATTTCTTTTATTTTTCCCGATTTTTTAAAATTTTCCCGGCAACTTTGCCTGAAATTAAAATTTTTTGCCGACATCTCATTAAAATTTTTAATTTAAATTAAAAAAAAATTTTTTTTATATTTTTTAGTTTCATGCAAGAACGCTTAGATGAATTACAAGAACGTTTTGACGCAACAAAAAAAGAATTGTTAGCAACACAAAGACAATTAGCTGAAGAACAGTCAAAATATAAAAGAGATACACAATCTTTAGCAGATTCTAAAAAACATTTAAATGCTGAATTAAATTCAAAATATAGTGAAGTACAAAAATTAAATACAAATTTGGATGAAAAAACTACTGCATTGAAAAAACTTGAATCACAATTGGCTAATGTAAGTTTTTATGATTTTGACTGTTTTTAAAAAAATTCTGATTTTTTGGTGTAATTTTTAAGTTTACAATTATTATTCTGATTTTAAGTTTTTTAATAATTCTGATTTTTGTTTTTAAGTTCACACTTCTTTAAATTCTGATTTTATTTGTTAGTTCAATTCTGATTTTTTTAAGTTTACAATTTTCTTAAAATTCTGATTTTTTAGTATCATTTTTAAGTTTACAATTTTCTTAAAATTCTGATTTTTTAGTATCATTTTTAAGTTTACAATTATTGTTAATTCTGATATAAGTTTTTTAATAATTCTGATTTTTGTTTTTAAGTTCACAATTCTTTAAATTCTGATTTTAATTTAATTCTGATTTTTTTTATAAGTTTTACAATTTCTTTAAAATTCTGGTTTTAGGTTTTGTAATAATTCTGATTTTATGTTTCACGTTTACAATTCTTTAAATTCTGATTTACCAGAATTAAATTAAAACAAATGTTATTTCATTGTCAGTTCTGTTTTAGGTTTTGTAATAATTCTGATTTTTGTTTTTAAGTGTATAAGTTTACATTTCTTTAAAATTCTGATTTTTTTCTTTAAATCAGAATTTTTAATTTAAACACAAATTTTTAAATAATATTCTTTAAATTCTGATTTTTTCTTAATTTATTATTTTTTATTTATTTTTTTACTTGTAGGAACGTAAAAGCAACACTCAAACTATTTCAACTCTTACTGAGCGTGCTAAGCGTGCAGAAATTAATTTATTGGAGCATAAATTGGATGATGGTCTTCGAATATTAGAGCGTGCAAAGGATGATTGTAGTGCTCAAATTAAAGTATTGGAAGTTGATAAACAAAAACGGTACTTGAAAAATTCTTTTTTTTTCTTCAAAAAAAATTTTTTTTTTTAAAGTTCTTTACAATCTGAAATTGATGTTATAAAATGGAATATTGGAGAATGGGAAAGTAAACGTGAAGAGGTGGCCTCTCTAATTTCTCAAGCAAAAACAGAATTTGCTGCGCATATTCAAGCTGTTAAATCAGGCAAACAGTTGATGCAATTGCCTAAATTACAAGTACCTAAACCACCACCATGTCCACGTATTCATCCAATGCCTCAAGTAGTAGCAACACCTCAACAAATAGTGTCTTCTGCTATTCCATCAACTCCAAATTCTTCTGTTATTCAACAACAACAACAATCGCAACAAAATCAAGTTCCTCCATCACCTTTATCGTTGGATCGTAAAGTAATTACTCCACCTGGAAAGACACGAACTGGAGGAGGAGATAATAATAATATTATTGTGACACCTCAGCAACAGTCTGGTAAATTTTCAGAAAAAATTTTTTAGAATTGAAAAAAATTTTCCTTTTCTTTCAGCTCAACAGCAACAACCACATTCTACTCCTCTTTCTTCAACTTCAAGTATTACATCAATGACTACTCCAGTTAAAGCTCCAGGTAAATTCTTTCGCAGAAAAGGGCTAAAGAAATGTCTTGTGTTCATTTTCAGGTGCTTTGGGTACTGCTGTTGCTTTTCAATCATTATCAAGTAGTAGAGGAATTGGTTCATCATTACAACAACAATCTTTGACACAACAACAACCTCCACCACAACCACCACATTTACCTCCACCAATAGCTCCAATAGGTGTTAGACCAACAAATTATCAAAATGGAATTTCTGTTCCACCTCCACCAGTTGGACAACCACCATCGGCTGCTGCTGTTGCGCATCATAAATTTGCTACAGCTGTTGCACAACAAATTGGGCAACAATTACCACCTTCACAGCAAGCATCATCAACTCAGCAACGTCATTCACCTAAATTAGGAGCAAATACAGCAACAACAACACAATTTATTTTACCTTCACAATCTCATGCAGCAACAAATTTTCAACAACAACAAAATTTTCATGCTATTAGTCAAGTAAAAAAAAATTATTTTTTTTCTAGATAATTTTTGGAGTAGAAAGGAGGGTTTTGTGGAAGTAGAAAGGGGAAGGGGAGTCTAACGGAGAATCTTAACCCCGTCATAAATATATGTATAAAGTTTTTATAATAAGGCGATTTTTTGTAACATCCCAATGTAGCTCGATGAAATACGTATTGAATCATGCTACAAAATTGTCTAGAAAAAGGGTATAGGTTAGAATTTCCGCCTTCCATTTTCTGTCATTCTCCATATTTTCAAAAAAAAATTTTTCTTTAATGTTTACAAAGTCCGATGTCTGTTAGTTTCGATTTCCGATACTTCAGTCTGTTCTTGCACATTGGGGATCTAGGAGTACTCTAATATTTTGTAGACGTACATTAAAAAATAAATTGTTTTTATAGCCTCATCAAACACTTTCTTCATCTTCATTACGTCATCAACAACCACCACCACCACCTACACAACAACAAGGAGGAGGAAATTTAATAGTTCGTCCATCACCATCTTTTCAATCATGGAATGGTGGTTGGAGTGATCAATTGAATCATTTAAATAATATTAGTGATATTTTTGGACAAGGACGTTCTTTTGGTCCGTTGGGGAGTGATTTTGGTGGAAATAATAATAGTAATAATACAAGTGGTGGAAGTATTGGAGGGAATGGAGGAGGAGGAGGAAGTAGTGGTGGAGGTGTGGGAGGAGGAGTAATTGGTAGTAATGTGGTAGGGGGTGGTGCTTTTCGTTCTGCAAGTGTTACAAATCAACTTCAACAACAACAAGTTAGTGGTCCAGGAATTATTTCTTCTCCTTCAAATAATACAAATAATCCTCCTCCAGCAATTGGAAGTAATAATAATAATACTCCAGCATCTCAGCCTATTGGTAAGGAATGTTTTTTGTAAAGGGGGAAAGCTAATCCGCTAGCAGTTAAGACACCGTGTATTGCCCCTTGTAGCGATTTTGGGTTCGATGGTTCGATTCCTGCCTAGTGGGTGGTTGAGTTGACAGTTCGTAACCGAGCCGATGATGTTTCAGTTCGTTTCTCCGGTCCGGTTCTGGATATTGAAGATTTTTCAAGAACCGACAAGTCTACTTTGTGTTTGTTAAATTATTATTACCCTCTAACTTGTCGAATCTTAAAAATTAAAAAAAATATCTAATATTTTTTTAAAGGTGCTGGAAGAAATGTTCAAAATATTTCACCTTCACAATCACAACAACTTCAACAACAACAGCGTAATGGTTGGTCTGCATTTACAGCTGATACATGGAATCCGTCTGCTATTTCTAGTAAAAATAAATTTTTTTAATTAAAGGAAAATAATTTCTTTTAGGACGTCAAAATTGAATTTTTTCACAACAAAATAATTTAAAAAAAAATTGAAAGGACACAAAAAATGAAATTAAAATGACTGCTGCACTTCTCTCTCTTCTCTCCTCTATATTTCTTCGTCTTTTTACAAAAAACACGCAACAAAAAAAATATGCTACAATTTTTTTTATTATTTTTGTTTTTCTGAGAGAGATTATGTTGAGAGCGCCTTTTGTGTTTTTGCATTAAAAAATAATGTTTGTTTTTTTTTCAATTTGAAAGGAAGTTTGGAGTAAAAATGGGAGAAAAATATATGTTTTAGACGTTAATAATATATTTAGTATGTAGTTTTTATTGTAGTAGAGACCTATTGAAAATATATAAAACTTGGAATCAGAATTTGTAAAAATTATTAAGACTTGAAAAATCAGAAATTGTAAAAGCTTGGAATTAAAATCAAATTGTAAAAGAAAGTTACAAATTCTGATTTTTAAGTTTTAATTGACATCAGAATTTGTAAAAACTTGAAAACAGAAATTGTAAAAATTAAAACTTGGAAATCAGAATTTGTAAAAATAAGTTTTACAAATTCTGATTTTTATGTTTTAATTTGACATCAGAATTTGTAAAAGTTAATACAACCGAATCAGAATTTGTAAAAATATTAAAACTTGGAATCAGAATTTGTAAAAATATTAAAACTTGGAATCAGAATTTGTAAAAATATTAAAACTTGGAATCAGAATTTGTAAAAATATTAAAACTTGGAATCAGAAATTGTAAAAAAAATAAAACTTTAAAAAATCAGAATTTTTCTTTGGTCTTTACTCTACATACAATTACATTTATAATTATATTATGTTTTTTAATATTTGCTAAAAGTGCTGCCCTTTTTTAAAAAGAAAAGGTTTGTTAAAAATTGTTTTTTTTGCTTTTCCTCTCTATTTTGCTTTTTTTTTTACAATTTTGTGCATCACATATATTTAATTTACCCCATTTTATTTTGCATCCCCTACACAATTTCCACCACAAAAACACAAATATTTTTTTAGACTTTTTTTTTGTTGTTTTAAAGAATTTTGTCAAATTATATATATAAAAATTATTTTGAGGGGATTTTCTTTTAATTTTTTAAATAAGTTTTCTGATTTAATAAACCGAGGAAAAAATGAAATTTTTAAAATTTTTTTTCGTTTCTATTCACATTTATTTTTATTATTTTACCAAGCGCTGCTATTATTATTCTCTAATTAATATCTTCTAATTAATTCAAAATTATCCAAAAATTATAAGATCCAAAAAATTAATACATTTTGTCCTCATATAATATTTTTTTCTGTATTTTGCCTTTATTTTTACTTTATTTTCTCAAATAATTAAAAACTAAAATTAAATTTTAAGTCAAATATAAAATACCACAAACTAATCAAATAATTAATTAATCTTCAATTTTTATTTTATAAGCTAAAAAATATTTGTGAAAAATGAGAGCAAATTATGATGATATTCTGTTAAATATTCTGATTTTTATAAAATATTTTCTGATTTTTAATTTCTGGTTTTTTAAAAATTCTGATTTTTAAAAATTCTGATTTAAAAAAATTCTGATTTTGAAAAATTCTGATTTTTAGAAAATCTGGTTTTTTAAATTCTGATTTTTTAAAAAAATTCTGATTTTTAAAAATTCTGATTTTTAGAAATTCTGATTTTTAATTTCTGATTTTTTAAAAAATTCTGATTTTTAGAAATTCTGATTTTTAGAAATTCTGATTTTTTAAAAAAATTCTGATTTAGAAAAATTTTGACCTTTTAAATTCTGATTAAAAAATTTTTCTGATTTTTAATTCTGATTTTATAAATAAATATCAAGTTTTATTCTGATTTTCCTTCTTCCCTTTTGCTCTCATTTTCTCTTATCAGAATTGTGTTTTAATTTTCATTATTTTTCATTGCTCCTTTCAAACACTTTTTTGTGTTTTTTCTTCAATAATCATCAGATAATTTTTACCGCTTAAAAAATCTTTTATATATGTTGAGAAAGGTGTTGAATTGCTTATTATTATTTTTAAGGGGATTTTTTTTGTAATGAAAAAATAATCCCGTGAATAAAAGTTTTGGATTTTGTTTGAAAAAAATTTTTTTATTTAATTTTAATTTTTTTAAATTTAATTTTTTTTTACAATTAGGTATATATTTATTTTTATTAATTATGGGGCAGCAATATATTTTTAGAGGAAACAATAAAATCAGTCGGACCTCTCAGATATACCCTCAGGGCTTATAAGTATTAAATTGAGGGTATCGCTTGGGACCTCTATATCCAATGGACAATCGACTTTTAGAAAGTTTATTAGATAGAGGTTTATTCAATATTAGGTCTGTCACATATGGTGGGCTTATCACCTAATGTCAAATATATGTGTGCTTATAATGGGTGTACCTGGGGGTATTCTAATGAGTGACCTTGTGGTGTCCCCTAACAAATAAGTGCTCTCCCTCCACCGACTGGCATAGAGTGTACCATGGGGTATCAGCTGAGTGCTCTCCCTCCATCAAGTGGCCCCAATCAAATTTTAAAAAGCTGGAATCCTACTTGGAGGTATACCTATCTATTATTGGGTACCCTCTTATTAGAGAGGTCCGACATTCAATATAAAATAGCAATTTAAAATAAAAATAAAAAAAGGGGATATGCCCTAACAAAATTTAAAAAATTTTTTTTTCAAAGGAAAGCATCATTTTCAATAATAATTTTAGAGAGAAAAAAAATATTCGAAAGAATGATAAAAAAAATTAGTGAGGAAAAAATATTTTAAATTGAGATCACACAGAATGTTGACTTAGAAAAATGGGGAGAAATAAAAAATGTTTTCCGGAAAACTTTCCGGAAAGGTGGCGATAAATGGTTGTTGTATGTACTGGGCAATAGAATGAAAAGGCAGTGATTTTATAGTGTATTTATTGGGGGAAAGAAAAATATTTTTGGAAAAAAATTAAAAAAAATAATTTTTTTTAAAAAAAAAATTTTTTTTAATTTTCCTAATTTTTAAAAATAGCCTAATTTGTGGGTGAATAAATCATGACAAAAATACAACAAAAAAAATTTAAAAAATAAAAATTAAAGAAGAGAGACTCAGCACCGTCATTCTCCATTTGTTTTTATTGTATTTTCATTATTCTGGTATTTTTAAATATTTTTTTAAAGTCTCAAGGTTCACACAAAAGTGAAATAGCCGTCTGATTTGCGCCGCTTTCGAGCACCACCCCTTGTTGGGTTTGCGCTGTCGAAGGCAGGTTTTCTGGAAAATTTAAAACAAATTATTTTTAAAAATGAATCTATATGTACTGCTTCAACTAATTTTTTCAATAACACAAAGTTCAACAAGTTCAAGCAGTACATGTAGATGAACAACAAAAAAACTAATTTTGTGCAAGGAAATGTGCAAAGTTTTATGCCTCATCACACACCGGATAAAATTTGGATTTTATAGAATTTTCTTGGAATTTACAGATTTTTCAAAAATTTAAAATTTTTGGGTAGGTGTGTGTCTGTGCATTCATTCTCCCTTTTCTCCCCCCTCCCTTCTCTCCTCTAAAAAATTTAAAAATAAAAAAAACTAAAAATAAACAGACATTTTAACCATAAAAAAAGATAAAGTGAAAAGATTAAAGTGTGTTATAAACAAAAAATATTGACTAGTACATGTACTGCTTGAAAAACTTTTAAAACTTAAACTGCATTATATTGCCCTCATAACAAGACTCACAATTATTTAAACTTGAAAACAAAGTTTAAAGTTTGTTATTTTTCATCAAGTTTGCAAACTTGTTTTTCCAAGTTTATTTTAAAGTTTATTTTCTCTGACATTATTTTTAAGTTTACAAACTTGTTGTTTTAAGTTTATTTTTTTCAACATTAAAATAAACTTGAAAACAAAGTTTTATTTTGTTACAAACTTGTTTTCCAACTTGTTTTAAAGTTTATTTTTTTCAACTTTGTTTTTAAGTTTACAAACTTGTTATGTTTTTAATTATGTTTTTCTTATTTCAAAGTTTGTGTTGTTTTCATTAAAGTTTAAAATTTGAACATGTTTTTCCAACATTTTACAAATTGTAAAATGTTAATTCCATTTGTAAAACTTAATTAAATTATTAAAAATAAACTTAGGAATAAGAAGGGAAAAATAGGAGAGAAAAGGAAAGGAGACTTTAAGAAAAACAAAGAGAGAGAGAATGAATGAACAACACCCACCATAATATTTTTTCTTTCAAAGATCCCGGTGGTGGTGATGGCTAGCATGAAAAGCAGCGGCGTGATGGGCAGCAGTTCCAACAAGACTTCCCCCACTAGTTCCTCCATACCTATTCCCGCTGTGATTTTGTCCTAGCAGCCAACTTTTGAAAGAAGCTTCCATTTTTGAGGGGGATTGAGAGACTCCTCCCTCAAACATTTCTATTGGTGATTTTCTAACTCTGTCATTAAATGAATGCCATAATTCAACAATAAGCTCTGTTGCCATAATATCACCAGCATGGGCTTGAAATTTTGAAATTTTTTGGGAAAAATATTTTTTCAAAAGTACCACTAATCATTCTCATACAGAAAACACCATCTGCACCAAGAAATTTGTGTACAAACTTTTTGACAGATTGCCGGTCTGTTGCTAAATCTGTTGCTCTGAGGTATCTTCTGACGAATTTCATATGCTAGGGAAAAAATAAACTTGAATTACAATTGTTTAAAACTTTTTAAAATTAAAGTTGGTAACTTAAAACTTGAATTAATAAAACTTGAACTAAGCGCTTAAAACTTGTATTACAATTTTTAAAACCTAAATTACAATTGTTTATAAGTTATAAAATAAAACTTTAATTTATTGCAAACTTAAAGCCTGAATAAATAAACTTGAATTACAATTGTAATAAAATACAAGTTTGCAAACTTAAAACTTGGATTGTAATTCAGGTTTAATTACAACCCAACAATATTAAAAATTGAAATATTAAATAAACTTGAATTAAAACTTGGAAAAATTAAACTTGAATTACAATTTGTTGGTCTGTAATATACCTAAGTTTGCAATATTTAAAACTTGAATTTAATAATTAAACTTGAACAAAGTTTGCAAACTTGTAATAATAAATAAACTTGAATTACAACCCAACTTAATATAATTTAAACTTAAAACTTTTACAATTCTTAAAACTTTAAGTTTACAAATCTCTTTCTATATTCCTTATTACCTGGCCAGGCATAAAAGACATGAGTATCCAATGGCACATAGAAAAGAAAGTGATCTATTGAAAATAAATTTATTTTAAATTTATTTCTAAATTAATTATGCTTACAATAGAGACCATAAAAAACCAGAACCAAAGGAAGAGAAATATTTTTTCGTTAAACATATTAATCATTAGCACACATTGCACCTTTAATTTAAACAACAACTTTCTCAAAAAATTAATTTAAAACACACCGTATGATGATGGACATTACCTAGAACCCTAACTTCAAAGTCACACATTGTTACTAAAAAATTAAAATTATTTTTAAGAAAAAAACACAGGAGAGTACCTCTAGGAAAGTTTCCACTAGTTTCCCATTCCCTGCCATGCAATAAATCTTTAAGAATGTGAAAGCCATAAAAAAGATTGTCCGTACTATTAGAATAAAAATTAAATTTTATTAGAAAAATTTAAAAACCCCAAAAAAAGGTTTAAAAGGAAAATTTGGAGCACAACATTGGCCAAATAAAGCATTTTAATAAAAACGTAAAGGCAAGTCACGTAGGCGCCCCACCGCCTTCCAAGACAAAAATTGGTGGCATCAGATATCTATGATATTTTAAATTAATTAATTTAATTTTTAATTACTTCACGCTGTAATTCTAAGGTGTCCTCCATATGTCCAGAGATGGTACGCACAGTAGCGTGACGAGCGTCAACCTTAAAGAAATTAAATTAATAATTGTAAAAATATTTAAAACTTGAATTACAAATTGTAAAAGAAGTAATTAATTGAGAATTAAAAACTTTTTACAAATTGTAAAAAAATAATTAAACTTTTTACAAATTGTAATTTCTTACTTAAAACTTTTTACAAATTGTAAAATAATTATTAAAACTTTTTTACAAATTGTAATTTCAAAATTAAAACTTTTTACAAATTGTAATTTCGAAATTAAATTTCAGAACTTTTTTACAAATTGTAAAAATAATTATTTCAGAATTAAAACTTTCTTTTTACATATTTCAGAATAAGTTTATTTAATTAATTAAAATTACACACATCCATCATCCGCGCATCACACGCCATTTGTGTTAAACTCTGAACATTTATGCCTAAGTTAAAAATAAATATTAATTAAAATAACTTTAATCACCACTATGCCAATGCAACAAGCCCCGCCACATAATACAAGGAATGTAAAACATTAACGCCTCCAAGGCCAGTACAAAAGGCACCCATTGATAGTAGGAAACTTGACGGGCCCTGTACCTTGAAAATTTATGGGAGAATAAAAAAATCTTTTTTTCTTTCTAATTTTTATCAGAAAATAGCTAGACAATAAAATAATGAAACCAAAAATAAATATAAAACTCACCGCCTGTCACCATAATCGAGAGGAAATGCATTGGTAAGAGGTAAATAGTATGTCTAAAAATATTTAAAAAATTAATTCTGATTTTTAATTATTTTTTAATGTCACAATTCTGATTTTATAATAAAAATATCAGAAAATAAAATACATTTTCCACCCAACAATAATTTTCTGTATATTGCTCCCAAGCATCGGTAAACTGAGCAGGTACCCAACACTGGATGGGATAACCTAGAAATTTAATAAAACTTGTGTTCTGATTAAATAGAGAAAAAACAAATAAAAAACTTACCAACATACTGTTTTGCTGATACTATTATAGCGAAGGCAAAAATAATGGCAGAAGTGTAGTGATAATTGAGTTTGTCGACTAAAATAATTCTGATTTGTAAATTCTGATTTTCTTTTATTTTAATTTGTAAATTCTGATTTGTAAAATCGTTAAAATTTTAATTTTCTGATTTTTAATTCCAAGTTTAATTCTAATATACAAATCAGAATTTGTAATTCCAAGTTTTAGATAAATTACAAATCTCGTAAAATCAGAATTTGTAATTTCTGGTTTATTTTTAATTTACAAATTGTGGTTTTTTAATTTTACAAATTCTGATTTTATCTTTGTATTTCCCTCATGTTTTAATTCTGATTTTTAATCTTTTTTATATTTACAATTGTAATTCTGATTTAAATAAGGTAATAGAAGCCATAAATTATTTTTAATTTACCAAAATCGTCATCAACACGCGGGTGAAGGCCTTTAAAAATTGCAGCCAAGTAGTAAAGGAGCATGCCGACCGATAGTGCCGCCTGACAGATTCAAAAGGTGAAAATGAATTAAAAATAGGATGAGATGTTGAATAATATTCATTCAAAAAAGGATATCCTCCTCCTCCTCCCATTGATAAAAAATGTTTGTGGCAAATAAATGGACATTCGATGTATGGATGATGGAAGAAGAAAAGAGAAGAGAAGATTTTTGAGGGTAAAACAAGAAAAAAGACTATCGAGATTTTTATTTTTTTGTGTCTAATTTTTTGACTAAAAATTAAAAAAAAATTTTTTTAAATCTTTTATTCTTCCTATTTCGAATATTATTATTTTATTTATCCAAGAATAATTAATCTTTTAATTGAAAATAAAATTTTCTGACCTTCATTTAAAAATCGAGAAAAAAAACATAAAATTGATGCAATATTTAAAATAAACTTGGATAGAATGGGAAATTACAGGGTCACCAAAAACAAGTTTTATTAAAGAATTTTTAAGTTATTTTATATTAATAATTATTTAAAATTTTTTAAATTTTGATTTTTAATTATGATATAAAATTCAAGTGTTTTTATAATAAATCTATGGGGGGCGGATGTTTAATGTTCAATCAAAAATTAAAAAAAAATTTTTAAATTTTTTCTCTAATTTTTTAAAAAGGTAGACAACAAAAGAAAATTAAAAATAAAAAAAGCTCAATTTATTATTGAATTTAAAAAATAATTAATTAAAAAATAAAAATAAAAATGAGGCCAGTCATTTAACGAAAAAAATAAGAAAATTAATTGAAAATAAAATTTGAAGAACACGCGAAAATAAAGAGTAATCTACCCCCAAAAACAACTATTTTTAAAAGGTCTCTTTCCCTCCTAAATAATTTTTATAAAAAAAATTAAATTTTATTTCTGTGCCGAAATATGAGCTATTTAAGGGGAAAGGGAGAAATAGGCCTCCAAGAAAAAAAAAGAAAAAAATTTTCCAAGAAAAAAAATTTTTTTAAGGATAAAATCGGGTAAGAGGGAGAGGAAAAAAATAAAAGGGAGGAGATCTATTTAGAAATAAATAAAAAAATATATTTAGGCGCAGGAAGAACTAAAAAAAGGAGGGAAGGAGGATTGTGTCGGAGTGCTTCTTCGGCACACGCACAAAGTGGATTTGGCCGTGCGGAAAGCGAAAAAAGGACGTAGAAGAAAGTGTCCTTTTTCTTCTCTTATTTTTTTCTTCATTCAATCGCTTCTTCTCTCGACTTGTAAAAAAGGGGACTCTAAGTATATATTTTTTTGTTGAAATGGCACAGCTCGTTTATGCGTAACACCGCCCTTTCTCCCCCCATTAGTCCCCCCGTTATACTTATAAAATAGTAAAGAATTGAAAAAAAGGAAAAGCAAATGAGAAAAGAAGGGGGGATATGTCTCGACACATTGCGCTACTAGACTTTTTAAGAAATTTTCTGTTGTATAAAATATAGGCTAAAAATGAAACTAAATGAACATGAAAGGAAGAGAAAAGGCAAAAATGTGTATAAAAATGTTTTTAGATGTTTTCCGGAAAAAGTTTATTTTTGTTAAAAACAAGTTTATTTTTGAGTAAAACAAGTTGGAAAAACAAGTTGAATATTTTTCCGGAAAAAGTTTATTAAATAAAAACAAGTTTATTTTAATATATTTTACGGAAAACAAGTTTTACAAACATGTTTAAATAAAATATTATATATAGTAATTAAATTGTTTTCCGGAAAATTAAATAAATTTCCGGAAAACAAGTTTATTTATTTTAAAAAGTTTCTAAGTTCATTTAAAATGTTTCTATTAAAAGCAAAGTTGGAATACTACAGTAACCCAACAAATTGTTTCAAAAAAGCTTATTAATTTAAGAAATATGAAGCAATATTGTATGAATAAAAATCAAAGAAAATATTTTCTTTAAAAATTAAATTAAGCTAAAAATTGTTTAAAAATATATATTTTTTTGCTTCCCTTTCTTTAAGGACTTTTAACAGAAAATAATTTTCAACTAAATTGAGTTTTGGCTTTTGCCGTTATAAAAAGAGCTTGTTTTGCATTAAAAATAAATTTTTGCAAAGAAAAGGGTCAAAGTTGCCCATAATTTAATCAAAATTTTTATATGTACTTTATGGAAATTGATTTTGCTGTCCCAAGAGAGGACAAATTTTATTATTATTTTTATTTTAGAGAGGGAGGATTGGCTACTAAATTTAAAGAAAAATCCTTCTATGAATGCCGTCCGAAAAATCCTTCTTAAATGCCGTCTGAGTACCCAAAAAAATTAAATAATTACCTACCTTCTTCTGCTTTCCCAAATATCCACCACCTCCGCCTCTTGTAGTTCCTCCTAGCCTATGTTCGTTTTGTTTTAAATGTTGATGGTGACGAAGACGAGGGTCCAAAAATGGGAAACGGTCGCATTTTCTATAATGCTATAAAATTGAAATAAAAACTTGAAAGTTTACGAAAAAGAAAAATGTTTTTCCGGAAACACGCGAAAATGTAACGAACAAAAGATTAGGGGGATGTTTTCTCGGAAACAAAGTTTAATTAAAAATGTTTTCAGGAATGTTTAATTTAATTTAATGCAATTTTCCGGAAACTTTTAATAAATAAATATGTTTTCTTGAAAACATAAACTTTCCGGAAAAACTAAATAGAGAAACATGTTTTTCCGGAAAACTAGTATTTAAAAGAACAACAAAAACTTTCCGGAAAAACTTCTAAACAATGTTTTCCGGAAAGTTTTAATAAGCAAATATGTTTTAGTGAAGCATAAACTTTCCGGAAAAGTTAATTTAAAAATATATGTTTTTCCGGAAAACTAGTATTTAAAAAAACAACAAAAACTTTCAGGAAAAACTTCTAAACAATGTTTCCCGGAAAAGTTTTGTTATGTTTATGAAGAGAAGTTTATTAAAAATGTTTTCCGGAAAATTTCCGGAATATTATTAGGTTTATAGGAGAAATAATAAAGTTGTGAAAAACAACGCAAATCTAACCAAATTAACATGCCAAAATAAACGTTAATTTTCATTTCCCGTCATTCATTTCCCGTTTTTTCGCTTTCATTTCCTTACAGAAAAATACTATATATATTACTTTTTTAAGGTAATAAAGTAAATAAAGATGGACATGAATAACGGGACTCCTTGCCCAATCCCTAAGGCATATTTGGTTTTATTGAATTTAAAAAAGGTAAAAGGAGGAGGATTTATGAGGAAAATGAGACTAGGCGTTGACGAAAATAAAGAAGATATGAAATGAGAGAAACTTGACGCCAATTGAAAATGATGGAATAATAAATAATATAGTAGGAGTACTTCAAGTTTATTTAATTAAGGAAAACATAGAAAAAAACAAGTTTATTTTAAAATATGTATTAAAAAAGTTTTCCGGAAATGAGATGTTTGGAAGAATAATAAATTGCTTTTAGAAGTTTTCCGGAAAACAAGCTTATTTAAATTATTTACTGGAAACATTCAAACAAACATTCAAACAAACATTCAAACAAACATTCAAACAAACATTCAAACAAACATTCAAACAAACATTCAAACAAACATTCAAACAAACATTCAAACAAACATTCATTCAAACATCCAAACAAACATGCAAACAAACATTCAAACAAACATGCAAACAAACATTCAAACAAACATTCATTCAAACATCCAAACAAACATGCAAACAAACATCCAAACAAACATGCAAACAAACATTCAAACAAACATTCAAACAAACATTCATTCAAACATCCAAACAAACATGAATGTTTGTGAATGTTTGTTTGAATGTTTGAATGAATATTTGAGTGTTGAATGTTTCCAGTAAATAATTTAAATAAACTTGTTTTCCGGAAAATATATTTCCGGAAAAACATGTTTGTTCTATTCAGTTCTAAGAAGTAATATACATTCCGGGAATACCTTCCGGAAAGTTTATTTTCTCTAGCAAAACATATCTACTCTATTAAAGTTTTCCGGAAAACATGCTTATTTAAAACAAATTGGAATGTTGCGAAAGAATTATATTTATAAATCAATGTTTAAAATTTCCTATTGTTTTTCCGGAAGATTGAAAAAAATACCGGAAACAAATTAGCAATTTGTTGTTGGATGATTGTCTTTTATTTTTTAAGAGAAATTTTTTTGCTTTTAGTATTTTTATTTTTTTACTTGGCCGAATCGCTAATTGCGCGTTTTGTGTTCTACAAAGGATTTTATTTATTTTGCAAACAAAATTTTTTCTTTCATTTTTTGCTTGTATTAGCCTTAAAAAATGAGAAAACGGGAAGGAAATCGACCGTCACAACAAACAGATTGTGTGGCAGCCGCTGGCGCATAAAGTGTGGGCAATGGAGCAACTAAAAATAAATATAAAAATACTTTAAGATTGAACGAAAAAATAAGAAAAAATTTTTTAGAAATAATTTTTTGGTAAATAAATAAAGGAAAATAAAAATATAGTTAAATAAACATGTTTTCCGGAAAAGTTTAATAAAACAAATATGTTTTTCCGGAACATAAACATTCCGGAAAGTATATTAAAACAAATTTTCATGAAAAGTGAATAAAAATATTTTCCGATAATATATAAAACTTTCCGGAAAAAACTTTCCGGTTTCTATAGAAGTATAGCGAAACAAACATGTTTTTCCGGAAACATTATATTATCCAGAAAATATAGAGAATAAACTTTCCGGTAAGGTTAAATAAACAAAAACATGTTTTTCCGGAAATGTTTTTCCGGAAAGTTCGGATTGAATAAACTTTCCCAAAAACATCAACAACATAAAAATACAAAACAAGTTGATTTAAAGAATAAAATGATTCGAACATTTGTGTCTATAAATAAGACGACATAATATTCTTCTCTTAAATGCATAAAAATAAACAAATAAATTTAAAAAAAAAGTAAAAAATCTCTGTAAAATAATAAATGAAGGAAAACTACTTTTTTAGCTTTTTTAGCATTCATTTATTTACTAAAGAATTTTTTTTTGGCTTTGCAGTT